TGCTGTGTGTTTCTAAAACGGCTCACTGATGTTTTACATTTTGACACACCTCTTGTACGCTGCTTTTGTGAGCTTTTATGCATTCATGCTGTCTTTCTTCTGTTAAATAAATAGTTGGCATGAAAAGTTCCTAGCTGGGCGCAGTTCATTCACTGTTGACCTCCACAGAAAGGTTGACTGCTGAATTGCTAGTCAACTAGTGCAATTTCACAAATCCACGTGAGCAAAAGCAGCTGAAATGCGCAAAGGTTCACAGCTTTTGTTATATACAGTAGTAGGATCTCCACCGTTATCTCTGTTTTTTTTTACCTCTGACAAATATTATACTTCCTGCAGCCATGAAAGCAAAGCCAATAATTTTATTCTCCTGTAATCTTCTTACTGCATGTATATGGCATGTATTTATGATGGTTGCAGTGTCCTGGGTGTGTGTGTGTGTCATTTTGTGACCTTCTGACAAGATAAGATAAGATGATAAGATAAGATAAGATAAGATAAGATAAGATAAGATAAGATAAGATAAGGTAAGGTAAGGTAAGGTAAGGTAAGGTAAGGCAAGGTAAGGTAAGATAAGATATAAGATAGGAGATAAGATAAGATAAGATAAGATAAGATAAGATAAGATAAGATAAGATAAGATAAGATAAGATAAGATAAGATAAGATGGGATAACCTTTATTGTCATTTTTTTATTGTGGGCACAACGGCACACATCAAAAATGAAATTTAGTTGCCTGCTCTCAAAGTGAAACACATACATGACATACACCTAAACATACTATGTGCAACATATGTATAGACTCACATCCCTACATATACATAGCAAATGAATATTAAATACTGTCCATCTTGAATATATAATGGAAGGAAGAAGCTTGAGAGTTCACAAGGTTAATGCTGTATGGAATGAAACTATGGCTGAATCTGGATGTTCTGCTATGGATACCACGAAGCCTCCTCCCAAAAGGTAACAAGGAAAACAGGTCGTGGAGAGGATGTGTAGGGTCCCAGATAATCTTACGGACCCTGCTCAAGCAACACTTCTGTGCTATGTCCTGGATGGGAGGGAGGGAGCTGCCAATGATCTTTTCTCCTGTCCTCACCACTCTCTGCACCGCTTTCCTGTCGGAAGCAGTGATGCTACTAAACCAGACTGTGATGCCATATGACAGGATGCTCTCAATCATCCCTCTGTAGAAAGTGGTAAGGACAGGGGAAGGAAGATGTGCTTTTCTCATGCGACACAGAAAAGGCAGGCACTGCTGTGCCCGCCTCACCAGATTCACTTAACAACCGTGTTACTAACTTAACAACTGGAGTGATTCACTTAACAATGGTGGCAAGAAAGGTCATAAAATGGGGCAATATTCATTAAAACTGTCTTGCTTAGCTACAGAAACGTTGGTCGTAAGCAGTGGTGGGATTCAGCCAGTTCGCACCAGTTCGGCAGAACCGGTAGCTAATTTTTTGTTGCCCAGGCTCAGAACGGACTTCCGGAAGCGGCATCCACACAGAGAACCGGTTGTTCCCACATTTGAATCCCACCACTGATGTATTTCACGCAACCTCCATATTGCTTTCAATTTCCTTCCGCTAGGTTACATGAAAAAAAATATATGTTTTTTCCCCTTCACGTCCATGCAGGTTATCTCATTCTTGAATAGAACTAGCACCTTCTTGCAAAATACTAGATAAATAACTTTTATTGTCATTTTTCACAAAGTGTGCACGTTGGCCCACATCCAGAATGAAATTTTGTTGCCTGCTCTCAAAAGTGTACACATGCATAACACACATTTAAGTGTGCTTATATACAGCATATGTATAAAACTACACCTTTACATATAAAGAACATATACATATTAATCAGTGTCTAGCTTGAACACATAGTAGAAAGAGGAAGCGTGAGAATTCACAAAGTTAATACTGTATGGAACTGTGGCTGACTCTGGATGTTCTGCTCCGCATACCACAAAGCCCCCTCCTCCCAGAAGGGAACAAGGAAAACTAACTTCTACCTTTCAAATTATTTCCCATCCAGTAGCCACAAGTGTGTAAGACCATCTTACAAACGGTGTGAATCATGTAAGTCGCATAATGGCATCGCAACACCCAAAATATCACTGTGGATGTTAAATACCTTAGTTACGATACCTGCAGCTAATTCTGCAGCAAGACCAATGTTTTTGCTAGCAACTGTCAAAGATTACTGAACAGCAAGACACATGCTTAGAAGGAAGCATTTGAAGGGAAACCACAAAGAGCCATTCATAGAATAATGGAAGGGACCTCGGAGGTCTTCTAGTCCAACCCCCTGCTCTAACAGAAGAAAAAAGGAGACTGGACAACTCTTCCTATTTGTGAGGTCCTTCTGGTGTTCTCTTATCTTGGTGGTTTGCTGATTTCATTACCAAACTAGGTAACATCATCAGTGCTGGTAATGAAACGTCTGCAAGAAAACCATCCAGCACAGAGAGCACCAAAGACCCCACAGTCCTCCTCCTCCTCCTCCTCCTCCTATTCTTCTTCTTCTTCTTCTTCTTCTTCTTCTTCTTCTTCTTCTTCTTCTTCTTCTTCTTCTTCTTCTTCTTCTTCTTCTTCTTCTTCTTCTTCTTCTTCTTCTTCTTCTTCTTCTTCTTTCTTCTTCTTCTTCTTCTTCTTCTTCTTCTTCTTCCTCTTCCTCCTCCTCCTCCTCCTCCTCCTCCTCCTCCTCCCCTTCTCCTTTTCCTCCATTCCACAAACTCCTCTCCCTTCTAGTATTGATGATGTTACCTAGTTGGGTCATGAAACGTCTGCAAGAAAATCAGCCAAGCTCAGAGAGCACCAAGGACCCCATAGTCCTCTTCCTCGTCCTCCTTTTCTCCTTCCCTTCCTCCTCCATTCCACAAGCCCCACTGTCTCCTAGCACTGATGACCTTAGCCAGTTGGGTCATGAAACATCTGCAAGAAAACCACCAAGCTCAGAGAGCACCAAGGACCCACAGTCCTCCTCCTCCTATTCTTCCTCCTCCTCCTCCTCCTCCTCCTCCTCTCCTTCTCCTTTTCCTCTATTCCACAAACTCCTCTCCCTTCTATTATTGATGACGTTACCTAGTTGGGTCATGAAATGTCTGCAAGAAAACCACCAAGCTCAGAGAGAGCACCAAGGACTCCACAGTCAAGAATCAAGATCACGTGAAGTATTAATACCACTTTACAATGCCTTGGTAAGGCCACACTTGGAATCCTGCATCCACTTTTGGTCACCACGATGTAAAAAAGACATTGAGACTCTAGAAAGAGTACAGAGAAGAGCAACAAAGATGATTAGGGGACTGGAGGCTAAAACATATACGGAACAGTTGCTGGAATTGGGTATGTCTAGTTTAATGAAGAGAAGAACGAGGGGGGACATGATAGCAGCGTTCCAGTATCTCAGGGGCTGCCACAAAGAAGAGGGAGTCAAGCTATTCTCCAAAGCGCCTGAAGGCAGGACAAGAAGCAAAGGATGGAAACTAATCAAGGAGAGAAGCAACCTAGAACTAAGGAGAAACTTCCTGACAGTTGGAACAATTAACCAGTGGAACAACCTGCCTCCAGAAGTTGTGGGTGCTCCATCACAGGAGGTTTTTTTAAGAAGAGATTGGACAGCCATTTGTCTGAATGGTATATAGAGTATCCTGCTTGAGCAGGGGGTTGGACTAGAAGACCTCCAAGGTCCCTTCCAACTCTGTTATTCTATTCTGTTCTGTTCTGTGCTAAGTTAAAATCCACAAAGGGTCTTACTTTTTGAGAAATTTTAGGACCTGGCGAACCTGAGTTACTTGGCGAAATCCAAAGCGGCTACTGTATTCGCTTTTCCAAGAAGCGAATCTACTTAAGACAGATTTTTTTTTAAAAAGCTATTCTTCAGGTGCGAGATTTGTGGCACATTCCCCCCCCCCC